TTGTAAGATCATAATGCGATGTTTAAGTTTGTCTAAACTTTTACGAGTATAATGAATCCTCTATGATATTACCTTATTTAGGTACGCATTAAAATCTTGGGGGCATTCATTATGTCCAAACAACTGGTTACTAACTGCCATCAAAATTTAGGGAAAAGCACTCGAGATTTATGTAAGTCTAGTATTGCCATGAAAGACGTACTCTAAACAACACAGTCCAATATCCACAAAAGCATTATGCATATATGGGTTTATGAACAGAAAGGCCTTCAATAATTTAATCCGTTTTATATAATTTACAGCTAAATGTCGTAAATAATCGATTGAGTGTTGGGAACTTACAGTTTAAGTAACCTGATGAATTGCTTAGTGGGTTTACTTTGCCACAATACTTCCATAACTATATTTAAGGGACCTCAATTACCTTGAAATAAAGCCTATAAACCCTAGCTAAAACTACTCCAAGTGTGCTTCAAAAACCAGGTTCTTTAAATGAGGATGGTAAGAAAGCTAGGATTCATCAATGGCACAAAACTATTTCTAGCATGCGATTTTCTATCAATAATAATGATTTTATAAGCTAACGTTGTAAATCAGTCACCAGTTAATGAATTTATAGTGAGGCAAAGAATAACAAGTGCCTTTATTGTAAATTATTTTTAAAGCAGTCAATATCCATTCTTTATATATCGTAATAAAATACGCCTATTTTAAAATACGAATTCCCTAACAAAATAAACTTAAATACAATGAAGAAAATGAAAAATACGGGAGGTCACCTGATAAAGAAATGTTAAATAATTGTGGTTTTTTAGCCCCAAAATCCTAATTTCTGATGCGTATTGTCAAATTATTCCTTTCGTACTGAAGGCACATGGATTATGCTCTAGTCTTCGACTAGCAAGCCTCATATTATTTATGTTTTTTTCGTTGAGATGAGATTTGTGAACCTAAGGAGGCTGAAATTATGAACTTTTTAATGCCTTAATGGGATGGTGATACTTACTTACAATGCCGGCGAAACATTTGGGAATGTTACACGTCCACGGTTCAACTTAGGAAATGATCATGCAGACAATGGACACCGGACTAGGTGCGTTCCGTTATGTCTTCCTACCAATATGAACATGTTCCGAAAAGAAGGTTAAAAAATATTTTTGTTCTTGGTTCTGGCAATCAATTTGAGAAAACTTCCATTTTATTTTTTTACCGGAATAGACTTTAAAATACAGCTTATTAACTTAGACTTCTAGGATATGTCACCCCAACGAAGTTTGATATTAAATATTAATCATGAATACAACTTTTCCTTTTTTCTGAAGTCTATCTTTTCTTTTTAAAAAAGATATATTTTTTCTTAAGCTATCATTTAGTTCAATAGTAAAGCTGACCTATTTATATCCTAGAATTCAGCAGTAATCAGGAGGCAAAATTTCATAAGGTGAATGTGTAACCTGTCTGGCTCTTGATTTATTAGTCCTTCATAAAGGCCAATTTGCGAAACCCTTTCACCAAGATATTCATTAATAAAATAAGAAAAGCATCACTTCACAGGATTTAAAGAAGAGTGCTTTCAAGAATTTCGTAATTCATGTCCAAATAAGAAAAATAATTCACCATATAACCTCTAGGATGAATCATTTGCATATTTTTTTGTATTTCATCTTCACATTTTCAAAATATGCACTAAAACGCCGGTCCATATAACTAATTTTAAAATTTAAGTAAAGATTAGGAAAAAAATCTGTGCAAGATGAAATTTCATTGCATGGAAAAAGACTGGAATTATTATTTGTTCAACTGAGTATGCTTTAACGAGGAAAATTTGATCAGCTTGTATATTGCGAATCAATAAAGCAAGGATAAAAAGTGAAAATTCTAACCTGAGTAAGAGAAATAAGCGCATGGGAAAATTTCCTTGAGTTAGATTAAATAGGCCAGCGATATTAGTAATTTTTAGTAATTTTTGCACTTATCAAAACATAAAAACATGCAAATGCGTAGTGCTTTAATAAACTCACATAGTGGATTGTAAGCGAAAAATGGATTGTAAAAAAAATTAACTGGGTTTAAGGAAAAAAAGTATAGGACCAAAACCAACAAGACAGACGATTTAAACAGTGAGCGAAAGGCTTAAATAAGTTAGATAATAAGTAGATAAATACAAATATATATTCAATTTCGAAAAGACATGTTCGAATCAAAATAAAGCATGCAAAAAGCTTATAGTATGGAGTAGATTTGATAAAATTGACAAACTGTCTATTAACATAACTTAAAATGGCACTTATTGTTCCACCAGTTGTCACTAATTAATAAGAACAAAATAAAAGTGAAGCTGAGGGCGCAAAAATGGTAAGCTGATGCGAAATGGAAGAACTGTTTTGAGGTATTTTACAAGACAGAATGTATAATAGGGAATGAAATATAAGCACGTAGTGGTGGCTGTATAGCATAAACTGGATGCATAAAATAAAATAAGCGATTTAATTTTGAGACATGAATAGTAAAACAGATTACAAAAAATATTCTGCTTAGGCAAGTTACGAACTCTGAGAATTAAAAAGGCAAACATGGAAAGAGCAGTGAAATGAGACAAGTGATATAGGGCTAATGCATAGTAAACGGGAAATGGATGCAGATTAAAAATGCATATGAAAAGGGATACCTCGATTAATAGAGGAAGTTAATAGATAACTTATAATAATAAGGTTGGAGTAAAATAAGAAACCAATATTGGCTAATAAGGATTAATTTTGAGATCGGGATCCAGAAAAGAGATGAAATAACATTAAACAGCCGATCGCTTGCAAGCTACCAATTCCAAGTCTGAGCAGAAATCTCCTGAGGCCAAGTTTTCAGTTGCCGGCTTGCCATTTGGGTCTTTGCTGAATGCTTGATCGACAGTCCGAGAAAGTGTGGTTTCAGGAGGAACAACATTTAGAAGGCGCTGGCAGAACGAAGTGAAACGGATGATGCTTAACCTTAGGAAGGCTGGCTTATTTTGCCAGACAACGCCAAAGAGGTAGATGGGAATCCCGATTAGCATAATAAATAGGCTATAAGCTGAGTCCCTGGGGTTTTGATATACAGCGAGAATGCACATGAAGATGTCAACCACGAGAAAAAGAATCGGTACAAATATGGGAAGCTAAAACGGAAATGAAGCATTTAGCAATATAAATATGCTAGGTAGAATTAGGTGACAAAACCGCGTAAATGTACACTCAAAAAATAGGTAAAGGTAAAGTTAAAGAAAAACATGAGGCATGTATCAACTAGACTGCAGTTTTAGGGATGCTACCTAAGGTATGTCAGCCTATATAAGTGATTTCAAAATTAGATCAAATGCAACATTATGCTATTTTTTTAAAACGTTATACGGGTGGGACAATCTTGTATAGTGGCAATAGTGCCATAAAATTAGTATTTTTTATGAAGAAGTAAACTTTCATTTATAAGAATTGGTTTGGGAGGTGGTATCCTTAAATTAGCTTATGACATTAATAACGAAAATTGAAGAGCTAACTAAGAGGCAAAAGATATAAGTAAAATAGTAATAGAAGTGGCCATTCTATGCCGTAGTCAGCAGTGATATTTGATATTATGAAAGGGTTGGAAAATAAAATCCTACGATTATTTAATATTAAGATAAGGCATTTTTCTAAAGTTAAAAGGAAGCAAAAAGCATGAAAATAATCTTGTCTCTTGAGGTGAGAAGTATAAAAAAACTCGCAAAATATAAATTATCAGATATGAAGACCAAGATGATGTGGCCTTTTGTGTGGTCGCAGTCTTCTTTCGTTGTATAGAAGTTGTTTGAC